TATAATAGACACATCGCCTAAATCTGCAAACGTAAGGCAATAAAAGATTGTGCACCAAGCGTAATTATCACTGGGCATTAAGATAGCGTTCGTAACTCGGAAGAGGCGAAAGAGCCGACTGAAAATCGATAGAGCAGACCACAAGGATGCGCCGTGGCGGTTTAAGGATGATGAAGTCAGGACCCTGGTGGTCCGCGACATCCGACCGCAGACAGTGTCGACACGAGTCCATAAACCCAATGGCCCATTACTAGCGGTGTTTATGATTTCAATTACTGGCTGGCCGATTGCACGGCCATCAGCGTGTCAAAGATGAGGTTATTCATTGGCAAGTGTCAGGCTGTATCTCTGTCACTCCCGATCGGTTTCTACCACGTCCAATGATCAGGAAGTACTTCTCTATGTTTGATCATACGAGCTGCTAGATAATTAAAGCGTACTATAGCCTATCACCAGGTCGAGAAAGCCATAAACTGGTCCGTTAGGTGCAGTAAGATGGATGATTTGATTCGAACCAATCGTGTTGCATAGATGTTCAAATACGTACGATTTGAGAAGAAGTGTATTATCGGCATTGTATGTAAGATCTATATTATTTCTTGGTGAAGACAAGAAAGTGTAAAAAAAATAGTTCGATAATTATGGTTTTAAGGACGCGGTAGTGTTAACTCTCAGACAATGGACCATTTAATAAGAACTGTCCCAATAAAACCAGAACCTATCGAGTCTCGTGTGGATCTCTACAACTCCAAATCCATCTCGTGAATACTGGTCATTCAAGAAAACTTGAACAAGCTGTTCTACAAATTTCCAGAATCCTGAATATGCTAGACGATTCTATTACTATGCTGCAAGAAGGAACTCTGCAAAAAATATTAGGATACGAGAAGAGGAAGGAAACAAGGATGAAGACACGTTTGGTATACGCGGAAATGGCTTTAATGAAAGAACGCTAAAGGGTTTCCGTGGAAACGAGTCGAAGATGTGTGGATGAAGAGTTTTCGCCGGAGGAACGTGTTCTTCTGCAACGAAACTACGCAGTTAAATGGCCAGCGGAAAAAAAGAAGAGGGTGCAGGTGCAAAAGATCCGCGCAGACGGTTTTACATCGGAAATAGAGCAGCAAGAGTTCAAACCCCGCTGATGACTCAGTGTGGCTTTCGTCTTCGAATGAAAGAGAAAGAGAACAGACAGGAGTCCTTGACCAGAGTTTCGCTCTCGTGTAGGAATTAGCGATAATTATATGGGGCTAGCACCTGCACGCGGCCGCAAAAACCTGGAATGCCCTGGCTGCTTCTGTTGCTTTTGTACACCGCTCCAGCGGCGTTGAGTCACGTCGCTCTGGGGATGACTCAAAGGGACATTAAACAAAGTTACCTGGACGCGGTAATCCGGTTGAAATCTAAAGGAATTACAGGAAATCGTAAGAAACGTTCGTTTCGCAGGGTTGAGAATATTAAAGAATGGTAGAGGAATACACGCACACTTTCTTTTCATTTTAGTTACCAAAACGTAATTAATTTCCGTTTCCTATCTAGTTCCTGCTAGCAGACTTTACTGATATTATAAAATATATGGTAGAAAAAATCTGTAAATTAAGACTTCTCTAAATGAATTGAAGATATTAAAAAATGTTTTGAAACGCCTATTGATATTATTCATAAACCCAATCACCGCAAATAATTTTTTAGATTCTTATAGCAAACTCTATACACCTTTAAATTACGTACGGAAATAATCAACGTCCGAATCAAACCAAAAATTTCTTTCCAGAAATGTTAATATTACACCTACAGGGGCAAGCAAATTCTCTCGGCGTTCTTTCCAACAAAGTCGGAGCACTTACAAAATGGAATAAAACGACCATAAATCGAACATACATCTCGAAATCGGAAAACTCGAGCGCGAAACGTAATCTAGAGAGCGGATAGCACGTAAAATAAAAAATGGTGGAAACGTGAGCATCGGACTGGGCAGTGCGGAGCCCGCGCATTCATCCCCTTCGATTTTACGTCGTCGAGAATTTCTTCTGAGTATTGAGTCGTAAACTAGCTGCGTTGCCATAGAAATTTACGAACGCCGCATTTTGAAAGAGTATAAATACATCCGAATGGAACGGCAGACCACCATTTCACGCCCACGACACTCCTACGAATTTTTTGAAGATCGAAGACGCGAAAGGCTTCCAGCCGTAAATAATATTCAAAATAAAGAACGATACCGAGGAATATTACGCGTTGGGTACACATGCCTTTGGCTGAAACGTTGAATAGTCCTTTGTAAATTATCGAGAAATATTTATTTTTTATCTGTAGAATCATTTATGAGATACATAGAGCCAAGAAACAATCAACATTCGTGGATATTGAAGGAAAAGAAAAAGATTTCGTTCCATTATTTTGAGCTTATCTTGCTTTCAATGAATGTTCTAACATTTAAGTAACAGAAACAATTCCACAAACAAAAGTTCAGTTCAAAATGGAAATACTGACAACAAAATGATTAATTTTGATATATAAATCTTCCTTGTAAGAATCTTTTATCTTTCATTTCCTCTATTTATTATAACATTGAAGAGATTAAACTTATTAAAAGCTTGAACCCCATGTATCAGCCATTGTTCTTCTACAGAACCACTTTGAAAACCCCACTTAACACATCAAACGATGAATTCAACGATTAATCGTAAAATCGAAAACTATAAAGTCCACGTAAACTAACATCTCACAACGAATCATCCTCTAAATAAAAAAACAGATGCTGACGATTAATTCACAGTTAATGACACAATAACTCGTACGATTGTACGTAACGTGAAACGCTAACAAAATAAAAATCATTACACTCGCGAAACCATCACAGAGAATCCGAGAAGAAAGTACAGGAATGCGTTTTATGCTCTGATTCGATAAAGAGACTTTGATATACGGGGCAAAGATAAGACAAAGCAGTTTGTATCGACAGAGCGTATACATACGTCTGAAAACGAAAAGATCCTCGGGGACGATACGTCGAATTGAATTCGAATGGGTTTTGGCAGCAGGCGTAGTCGTTATTCTGATTTATCGCGGCCGTCCGCCGCTGCCAAGCACCGACAGAACGACGTGAAACAATAAAGCCACGGGCCACAGAGCGGGGCTTACGTACCAACGTTAAATAACGAGAGACGGACGTGACCGTGAAAGAGATTCGATCTAAAGTGCCGGTTACAACGTTGTCGTAACAACTTTCTTCTCCGCCTTCCAACAGTGCCGACTTATCCTCTCGCGAACAAGCGCGAACCCGTGTCTTTTATCGATCTATCACTGTAACGTCTAACCATGTCGTATCATCAGCCAAGCTTTTTCCTTGCTTCGATTGCCTTCCTCGTGGAGACGTAATTTCGATCAGTCGTTTCGCTTCTCACCATATTAATCGTATTTTTTATACATTCTTTTATCCTATTCATTGGTTCCTTTCCTCTTTTTTATTCACGAACACTACAAGAGAAAAGCATACAATATCGACCATCTTATATCATCAGCCTAGCTTTTCCCAATTTACATCGCTTCCACCTTGGAAAAGGATTTTCAAGAGGTTCCTTCCTTTCTACTATGAGTATAATAGAGAAATTAGATAGAATATTTTCTATCGCTTACCGAGTGGCGGTTCTGCGTGTTAATTAACACTATACCGACCGATAGCCAATTAATCGGTTTTTGGTTGCCGACAATTTTTCTCATTATTTGAGCAATAATTTGTTATTTAGTACTAAAGTACCTTGCTCAGTTGCGTCAGTTGCGTTACTTTGTAAGCTTCCACAGTTTTATACCAATTTGAAAAACTTACCGTTCGGCATGAACGAAAAGAATGGTATTAGAGATTCTAAACCAAAACAGAGCCGGCGCCAGGGAGAATCTGCACCTGAGCTGTCGGTCGGGCGTGCGTATACTGTTGAACCGCTAGTGGTCAGTAAAGTGTTAATAAAGTAAGAAATATTCACTTTCGACGGCTAAGACGATGTTTGAAGAACGACCGCCATTAGGTGTGGTATTTCGATTTACGAACCCGTTAGTAATCTCGAGGACGCGAGAGTTTGAGAATTAAGAATGACGACGAGACTAGGTACTCCTCGAGAGATGTCCTTACAGTTTATTGAAATTACGAATTTCTTTATTTACATTACATGTTGTTTATCATAGAAACGAATATATGCGCGAAAAATTGAGCATAACTCGATGTAGGAAGTCATGCCAATATATAAGAAATAATAGCAATATCCTTGTAACGTGTACGGTGGTTCGCGTAACTTGGACAAGTCATGCCTTTCTTATGGTTGCAATTAGGGAACTATGTTGGAGGAAACAGGTAAACGGTTCATAAAAGAGCAACAACCCCCATATGCAATGATCAAATCAAGATAATAGTTTACCACTAATAAAAGAAGAGATATATTAATAAATACAATTGGGGATTACTTGAATTTTGATTAACATTAACAATGTAGAAATTGAAAAGGTGTAGAAACCAGGTTGAAATTTATGAAATTATTAATACTCTTTTTTCTTGCTGAGAAAAGATGCTGGTAAAATTAATACGTTCAGATTACCTTTTGTGTTATCCTATTAGAAACCAATATTTGATGAAATTAATTTATAATACTTTTTATATTTTGATAATCAAATAATACTCAATAAAATTCATTCTCAAAGTTCAAATGCACTGTTTGCCATTTCTCAGAAATTCTGTATACCGTGCTATACAAATCCATCTAAATTCGAATCGCGAACCAGCAAACGTATCGATTCCATCCGTACCTACATAATTCACACGTGACCCCTGCATGAATAATTCCACGATAATAGTCGCGAATTGGAAACTTTCGATTCCATCTTCGACATTTCACGAGAGAAGAGAAATTTCTGCCTTCCTTTTTCCACGTCACGTTTCGCGAATCGTGACAGAAAAGAGCAACACGAGAGGAGATCAAATAAACACGCGGAAAAGAAATATGGCGACTTACCCTTTAACTGCGTCGACTCGATGGCGAACATGTTTAACGCCAGGAGCTGAAGAAGTCGCGTCCCCGGAAGAGGCAGCGGCGAATGCTGAAGAAGCGCCCTGAACTCCTTTAACATCTGAACACCAGCTTCTTGGAACGTCTCCATTCTGAAACAAAGTTATAGATTACACTAGAAATTAGGAAACGTTATATAAATCACGATAAAATAAATAAAAGCGATAAAAATAGTTCCTGAGTGGTTCGCAATGCTTCAAAAAATTAATCGATCAAATTCAAATTTTAGTTCCATTCTACCGTATATAGCATAAAAGGGTCTCAGAGAACAAATAGAACAAGCAATATAATTTTCGAAAGGGAATCGAGAAAAAATACGAGGGGTAGGTAATTGCACCAACGGTTCTATTTCTGAAGTTGCATCGCGAAATCAGTCACAAACGACAGAAAATCGACCGCGATGGTAAGGGTGAATGAATAAATGAAAAGGCAGCCGTGGCACGTATCAGTCAACTGGCAAGATCGTGCATATTTTAGGCATACTGGTCTGGATAAGGACATCGACCCGCAACTTGAAAACTTTAAAACAATGGAAGAAGGGCGGACTACGTTCGCCTAATATTTCCTGTCTTCTTCCTCGAATATCTGAGAAACTTTCGTGAAACTTTCGTAAAAGTAGATATACTCGACGAGTGTATCTACCGTGGGATGCTGAGCAATTTCGTTCGTGCGAAAAGAGCCTTTGTGAATTTGCAAACGGTTCTAGTAGGTTGCAATTTTTGCTCAAGTATAGTGATTAATTTAAGTGTACCGTATTCGTAAGAGTTATGTATTAAGTCACGTGATTCGTGCGAAGCTTTGGTAATGAAGATGAACGGAATAAGGTAAGATGAATTTGCAGATGTTTGTAACGGCGTCGAATTTTAGTTCAAATCTGATGATCATTGTATTGGTAATATAGTATTAAATTGTGTAATGAGTTCGTTCGCGTTTCTTTAAAAGAACGTCAAAGATCGTTAACCTGTTACATCCTCCTCATCCTACTACCTCATGTTAATACATAGATAGGAAACCTGTATCTGTAATTCTCAGTGAAGCTGATGATCAAGATAGCACACTAAGCAATAGCAATATCATCGTATAACATCGCGCAAATCCAAAAAAGATAGACAGATCCTCTTCTCGATTCAGCGCTGTAAACGTAACATTAAAACGCGTCGTACATCGTCATTCGTCATTTTAAACGATTGCATTGCAAAGATAATCATGCGATTAAGTGATCAAATTGCGTAAGTTAAGTGATCAAATCACATGGCTTGTTAAAGAAAATAAGAAATGTTCCAGCGTAATATTTTATAAGAACAGAAAATGACAATAAGTAAATTTCTTAATCCTTAATAATTGATACTGAGAATGAATGAATGATATTAATGAATGATACTGAGTTTATGACACTCTAAGAAACGTCAAAAAATCGAAGAACTTTTAGACACTACTTAGCTCTTACTGTTTCAGCAATTCGTCTAGTTAACCAGAGACTCTGTCATCCTCTTACGCAACGATCATGATATTAACTAGCATATCTATCTAGTTAAAATCATCGTAATTACAAGAGCGAAGAAGAAGAGGAAGGAACGACGTCGTCGAGGAACCGTTACGAAGGCGAAATAAATTCTGCCGGTGCCGGAAAAACGGCGGTATGGTTAATTAAATCGGCGCGCGCTCGACGTCGAGACGCGTTCTCGCTCGGGTCTCGTGCGTGTTTTCGCTGGCCGCAACTTATAGTGGAATTCGCAAATAAATAATCGGATACTCTAATTAAAGTGGGCTGATTCTCGTCCGCCCGTTAATCGGATGGTTGAGAATGCGAGGAATTTATTGGACACGTCGTCCGCAAGAAAATGGCGAACGCCCGCGCCGGTATTGGACGGGTTGTGATAACGTCGGGCCAACGATAATGCGAGTTATGGCTAATTACTGGAACACGAGCGCTCTCATTAACGAGGACAGCCCTTCCGTAATCTATTCTAAAAGCGTTCACCAAGTGATCATCACCGGAAATTCGTCGACGCGGGTGTGACTCGCGATAAGAAAGTTCCTCGAGTTCAAGTGCGTTTCATAACCAGTGATAGGATCAGAAAATAAGCCTCAGACGATATTTTTGTATACAAACTTTCTTCATTGTCTTGCCGTCTAGAATCATATTTGATAAATATAGACCACTTTTTTAACACTCCGTACATCATCTGATATACTGGAACTTGCGAGATTCAGACATGCCAGAATGCGGTTCCAGCACGATCTTCGCAATGGACGCTGGAAGAACTTCAAAAGAGCCGACGACTGTTCCTCTTTTCACGAAAATTATTCAACAGACAGGTTCTTGTGAATTGTTGCTAAGAAGGAACATTGAGTAAAGTATCTGATCAATTTAGATGATATTCTTCGCACGTTGCGTTGAAATCGTGTTACTTTTCGAGAAGAAGACTGCTGTAAAATGTTCTGATTTAATGATGGATACTGTTACATGTATGTAAGTAGTTTGTAGGTGATGTGGATTTGAAACATATGCTAGAGTGGAGGCAGAGAAGGGAGAAAGATTTATGAATTCGTGTATATTGATGTGAGTGTGTAAATAGTAATAAATATATCTAATGTCTAATTATAAATGTTACATAAGGTAAAATATGTAGGATCTGGTAACTTGGATGGTATTAATAATAGTACCCAATGTTTTGAGTCCCAAACTTTCGAATTTCCAAAATTTAAAATTGCCCGAAATTTCTACAAATTTTCAGATCATCAGAAAAATGTTTGAAACATCGAATAACCTTACGGTGAATACGTAACGATTTATGTAATGAACGTAATAATTCTCTAATACTCTAAGCTCGTAATTTCTCCAAATATCCAAATAGTCGCATACGAATTGGTCTTAAGAAGCGCTTAACCTCATAAAATTCAAGATAATCACGTTGAGCATGCAGATCGCCGTAAATTTACGATTACCTTCGCGGTAAGCACGATTTCATGCGCCCGTATATACCCTAACACCTCTTCTAATATGAAATACAACATCCAAATGACCGCTCGATGGAATAAACCGAAACTGAGCTGCACCATGTTACCTGCTGCACCATAAGGTAATTAAAATGCTGTTCAGGATATTTATCGTTTATTGACACTGATACACTAACTTCGATGTCTTATTCTACACGCTCGTAAAAAACCACTGACCGCTACCAATTGCATGAAGATTCTCAAGACTAACATTAATATCAGCCCGGCTAATTCAGCCAGTTACTATTTCAAGACGTTGCTTTAAAATATGTACTAACATATTATAGAGTGTTTGCACTACCAGTTTTCAGTGTTTTCTTTGTATGAACTATATCTATTTCTAAGAAAAATAGAAAATAGATTTTTTTAATAAAATAGAATATTATATTCTTTTAATGAAATAATATTATCATTACGCAAAGGCTATATCAAATTTGAAAATCTATTCAAGACATTGTAATAAAATTTACTAAACTAAAAATAGTAAAATGTTGATATCCTCTATCTTATATCTCCAAATTTTGCTACTTACAAGAAGTACGTTGAGAATTAATAGCGCAAACACTCTGCTATATGCGAATAAAATAAGCAAAGCAAGACTTCCTTCCACCAAGAACCAAACCTTCCACCAAACCAAGAGATAAAGACGAGACGTGAAACTAATCTCGCGAGTAATTAAAAACCTCAAGATCGTCGAATTAAAATACCTAGACACGGATCTCCGAAACACGAAATAATGTTAGATCACCGAGATCCGGTTGATTTTGACGAGGATCAAGGGGAAGGACGCGAGAAACGAGAGGAAGCGAATTAACACCGACGCGAACGGTCCTCCGAGCCAACGTTAATCTCGCTCCGTTGAATTCGAATGATAAAGCGGATCGTCGCGATGCTCCCGTGAGACCTACTGAACAGCCCGTATCCTCTCGTAAACACGGCCACGAAGGAACGACGAGATCTCACGTAGCTAGGTGCTATCTTTCCCACAACCTCGTTCTCTCCTTCGTGGCGCCGTGCCGCGTCGCGCCGCACCGTGTGCTACCTTTATCGTGAATTTACGCTAGTAACGTCTCGATCTCGATCTCCCCTGGGCTTGCAAACTAGAGAATTCGTAACGTAAAGCCGTCTTTTAGCTTGATCGGTAGATTCATCCCTGTAGGGATGCGATCGACTAAGTCGCTTCGATGGCTGATTTATTTACGCGTTTTAATTGGCAATCTTGTAACTTTTAGACGGTTGGCGGAGCGGAAAATATAGTATGATGTTTGATGTTAAGCTGTAGATTTTTAAAGATAGAATCTTTTATTAATCTTCAATAAACTGAGAACATTATATGAATAAATTGCAAATGTTTATGCATTTGTAGGAAATTTAAAGATATAAAAATATACGGAATACGTATTTCGAGAATTCACGAGAATATACAAAATATTTGAACCACGACGTTCATTTATAATTCTACGTTCTATACAATAATATATTACCAATTATATATATTTATATTAAAATAGCATATGACTTGCTGTTAGGTCCACGCTTTACTCGATGCTTGCGTGAAAAGTGTTGCAATAACATTATTTCACGTGAAACACTTGTTTTGATATTTTTCTATCACAATGTACATGTTTAATTGTTTATTCATACATGTTACGCAACGTTTGATATATAATGTGTAATATCTTTTAAAACACTTGCCAACATGCAGGAATAGTTTTTTGTTACACGTTTCACGAAGGTAAACGTAAGTTGTCTTTCTTCGTCTCAAAAAATATTTGCACCGCCATTTCAATGATTTGCGCGATACATACCATCTATAAGCCTATTATAATTCAATACGACTTGAGGTTTTTTAGTCTTTTAGATACGGAGAAGTGTCACGTCACAGATGACATACTCGTATGTACGACCGTTAAGGATTAATACATGGGAAATATCTGAACCAGGCTAACTTGAATGCAGTTCGTTACACTAGCAATAATAATTACCAAACAATTCATTATTATTCGTTAGCAAGCAGTTAACGATCTCGTTATTATTTCAAGAATAATGAAACCGTCATTACTCTGATAATTATAATAATATTGTCCGTTCA